CAACTCTAACCAGACCAGGATCAGAAACCTTTATCGTGAACGGACTACCTCGGATTGGACGGTCTCCATATTTAACATCCAAATAGTTAGTACCTAAAAATCGGATGAAAGTGAATTTTACATGTAACAAATCACAACTTTCAAAACACCTAAACTCCGATTTTGCAAAGGTATTATACACTAATCAAATAATAATAATATTAATACTATAAGGGAGTTTACATGCAAAGAAATTTTATGGAAGCATTTCCGCCATATTGCTATCCTATTTAATTAAATGAAGGACATCGCACAAGAGGCGAGACCTTTCTAACCATGTGTGTGTATTCACGACTCTGTCCTGATGAAAATCCACCATGAAATATAAATGAAAAATAAAAATAAAATAAAAATGAAATAAAAATATAATCCATATACCTGCTTCAGTCACGACAAAGTCCACCTTGAACTGACCCCTAACAGGTTCACTAACACGACATGGTGTGGTGCGCCCACTCGGACCTATAAAGAAATCGTTATTTTAGCACATGAATCGCTCTAATAGTCATCATCTTCGTATTTCAACACCATAAAAATACTTGCCTTAGAACAGCCATTGCTACTTTATATGTACCCATCCAACAATCTCAGATAAGGTCTCTGACAACTACATTTATTAGTAAGTTTAATTAGTAATAGACATTTAATTAGTATTAAATTAATTTTAAATTAAATTAAATTAGTATAAGTTAATTTAATTAGTATTCGTATTAGTATTAGTATTAGTAAGTTTAATTAGTATTAGAGCAATGATAGCGATTCACATACTTCTCAGGTCGGCGGTGATTTTGGAGCCGTACAGACCGCCGGTGTCAACGTCGAATGCAGCCGACTGGTGCAGGCGCACGTTGCTGAGTCCCTCGTCGTACACGCGTATTCTACTAATGTCCTCCTCCTCAATGAGGACCTGCCATGGGCTTCCTGCGACGCGGCAATGAGAAACGCGTAGAGTGATCGATATCACAGGCTATATATATCACTATATATACACACTATATATATCAGTGTATTAGCGACACAGCACACCCGCAACGACGAGTGGCGGGAGCAGCTAGTTCTACATCAGTTTTTGTGAAAGCAAGTTGATATACAGTGACACAACTCTAGTGGAAGTGTAATAAACGGGTAGTTTTTGTGAATGTGCCACGTTCATATTATTCTCAGTTTTTACTAACTCTGTACCAAGTGCTTGTGATCGATATTGTACGTCGATCTACAGGGCATGCCCTTCAACAACTTATATGTTTTACATAACCGTAACATTCACACATCCATAAACGGTATGCGTGTTGTGAACCTGAGGCAAAAAACACGTACTCGTAACACGCACATCATAACCGGTATGCGTATTGTGTTCCTGAGGCATAACAACGTATGTATTAAAACAATATCTACCTGCGACAATCATACATCCATTAGACGTGTGCAGGATGCATACCTGGGATCGGTTGTCCATTGAAGTGCATCTCGATGTTATGTGGTACCGGCTCCTCTGGCACGAAGTGAGCTCGGAATCGTTGGTTTCCGAGGTTGGACACCTCACAGTCAACATGGCCGCCATTCACCATGATCTCCAGATTACCCGACCCCGCCTTCGCAGCATCGACTGTGGAAGACAGAACTCCCTAGTTATAACAATAGCAAGTTAAACCTACCCAGACTATATAAGTCTTAATATACTCTTGATAGTAGCTCATAGTAGATTATACATATACATCAATCATATGCATTAACTAACGCATTAATTAACTGTCTACTAGGCAGTTTACACACAAGTCGTTATCTAGAATGATACCTCTATGTATGACAAAGTGTCAAAATTATTACCATTTGTGTCAGTAAGGGTATAAGTTATGACAATAGTCACTTGATATCATTAGGTAAATATGAAGTGACTGATAATACAAGAGAAATAAGAAATTTCAATACACACACAATTCTTGCTACTGTCACCTAAACTATTGACTACAGGTACTAAGTTAACTTACCACTGAAGTATACTGGTTTGCCAATAAGTCCTCTTTTATCCTGTAGATCCACTCGGATCAGACTAGGATCTGCTACTTCTATCTTGAAGGGGCTGCCTTTGATGGGACGTGGTCCATACATCACATCCAGATAGTGCGTGCCTAAGAGATGCCACACAAGAGACTCACATGCATGTCGTAATACACCCCAGCACATGCTAGATGTGACCATTAAAAGTAAAATCTTTAAAACACTATCTGCAAATTAATTGTAGTGAGTTGTACCTGGTTCTGTGACTATAAAGTCAGGCTTATATTGGCCTTTTGTTGTTTCCACCACACGACAGGGCATGGAGCGACCGCTGGGAGCTGTGGGAAATATAAGCAGTAAATGTAAACACCGGGGAACAGTTGAACAGTATGTTTGTGATATATGTGCATATGCTGTAGGTTATGCATCATAAATATTACATGTAAAATAGTACGAAATAACAAATTCTAGAGAATAAAATGTCAAATTTAAGTACACATTTGCATCAAGTAAGGTACAAACACCATGATATAATTCAATATGCCATTACAGCTTTTACATTGAGCCGTTAATGGGTGATGCAAGTTAAATGATAAATTACATCGCAGGTTAGCAGTGATCTTGGAGCCAAACAGTCCGCCAGTGTCCACATCAAATGCAGACAGCTGGTGCATGCGGGCACTGGTCAGTCCTTCCCCATAAGCACGGATTCTGCTGATATCTCCTTCCTCCACGCGAACCTGCCATGGGCTTCCTACAAGAAGACCAATACAACACTATCAGAAATGCTACTTGCTAATAAAGCGCAATTTACAGACACAAGTACAAGATTGTGTCATCAGGATTTTTTTGGGCTAAATCGTGGTATTTCTGACGTATTCGTGAAAGCATGATGGGGAACAAAGCTAAGTACCTGGGACAGGTTGACTATTGAAGCGCATATCAATGATATGATCGCTGGCTTCAGTAGGTGTGAAGCGTGCACGGAAACGCTGGTGACCTAAGTCCGTGACTTCACAGTCAACATGGCCGCCATTGACCATGATCTCCAAATTGCCCGATCCTGCTTTTGCTGCGTCAACTGAAAAGGAAATTAGGATAAAGTGCACACGTCTCTAAAGTAAAGTGCTTTTGATAATTTTATGCATATAATATAAAATAATAATATAAATAAATAAAATAAATAAGTAAGTAGGGCTATTTTTTATGCATATAATATAAAATAATAATATAAATAAATAAAATAAATAAGTAAGTAGGGCTATAAAAACCGAAAATGGACCGTATGCTACACTACGGACAATGCAAATGTTTCGGAACGTACCCGTGAAGTTGACAGGATCTCCAAGGTTGCAAACCGTCGGCATATCAGCAACCTTGATGTCACCCGGGTTGAAAGGTCGTATGGTGTACGGACTACCCTGGACAGCGTATCCACCATAGCTGACATCCAAAGCATGGTAGCCTGGGCAATGACACATGGTAAATGTTCAAACTCACAGTGTGTGTATTAACTTGTATACAATGTATATGATGTACTTACAAAAATTATTCACAACTACTTATTGAACTATTGAACTTTCACTTATTTATCACATGCACAAACAGACAAAGGGAAAAAATTTCAAGAATATTTGTTGTGTAATTTCAAGGTAGATGATTATAGATAGAGAAACCTACCATGCTCTGTCAACGTGTGCTCAGCTCTGTAAACACCATGCATCAGCTCTCTAGTGTGAAGCGTCGCCTCTTTTCCACTGGGTGCTAAACAGGAACAGACAACAATCGTACACACACAGCTACATACACGATTCTACACTGCTTAATAGATCAACAGTCAATAATCATCTAGCTCAGTGGTTCTTAACCTTTTTTGAGTCATGGACCTCTTTGAGAATCTGGTGAAAGCTACGGACTCCTCCCCAGACACATAAACACACAATTTTGCATATAATTGTGTTCACGGACCCCCTGAAGCCCATCCACAGACACCAAAGGGGTCCATGGACCACAAGTTAAGAACCCCTGATACTAGCTGCATCAATGATTGCTGCATCTGTCACAGTTGGGTAACAATATACATTTAACAACACAAACGGCGAAGACATATTTAACAATACAAATATACCTTTCATCTTGACCTCAAGCAGCTCATTGTCAAGTCCTCCAGTGTTGATGTCAAACCACGTTGGTTTATTAAGCATGGAATTGCGTATACCCTCTCCTGACACGGTTATAGCAGATGGATCAATGACATCAAACGCCCATGGACTACCTGTTGGAAAACGTGACAAAAAACTGTCAATGTCCTTCGTAATTTCATCTAGATTTTTTTTATGAAATGGCACTTTTTTATTTAATACCCATTCATCCAACATTTAACATCAAGCTGCTCTGTATAATGCTAAACTTCAGATGCAAAGAAAGGTTCGATCATGCTCCTTATTATACAGTAAGCCACACACATATGCACTAGTTCATCGAGAACCTTAACGATATCGAACAATAAGCCAATTGAATCTGCACCGGGTAGCGCAGTGAATATTCTGGTAGTATATATGATATAATATAAAGTACACAGTATATAGTATATAGCATACAATATATAGTACATAATATATAGCTGGTATCAAGAGCTAATTACAGTACCTAGGTATTAATAATAGTTAGTAATAAGTATTATTAACTCTTGCTGGTATATATGCACTAGAGCCGATCCTACTCTCTAACTCAGACCGCACGTGTCATAAGAACAGCACGTGTCATCAGAACATAAGAACAGCACGTGTCATCAGAACATAAGAACAGCACGTGACATAAGAACATAAGAACAGCACGTGACATGACAACATAAGAACAGCACATGACATGACAACATAAGAACAGCACGTGACATAAGAACACAAGAACAGCATGTGACATAAGAACATAAGAACAGCACGTGACATAAGAACATAAGAACAGCATGTGACATAAGAACACAAGAACAGCACATAACATGAGAACATAGGAACAGCACGTGACATAAGAACAGCATGGATGTACGTCGTACCGTTCACTGGCTCGCCGTTGAACTTCACCTCGACGGTGTGCCGCTTCGCTTGCTTCGGCACAAACTGCGCCTTGAACTTCTGATGGCCGACGCTCTGTGCGGCGCACTCTACGTAGCCGCCATTCACCATGATCTCCAGGTTGCCGTGGCCGGCCTGCGACGCGTCCACTGGGTGGGGCGGCAGAAAGGAAAACAGAACCGTGAAGAACACGTGTAGTAATGATGTACACATATATATTTACCTGTTATATATAGTAACAATAGTACCATCTAATAATGACGCAAGGCCACAACGAGATGACATATCAGCATATAATTATGATCTAGATATATATATATAAATATACATATATATATAAATATGTATGTATGTATGTAAACATGTATGATGGTATAGCATTCGGCGCAACATGTAACATTACTAACATTACTAATGTATGATTACACCATGTGAGTGTTGCATGACATCACTCCATTCCCGACTGCATTACATTTTTTATCACGCGATATACGTTCGTGATCACATATCAACGAATCACATGCATTTACCCGAGGTAGGTATAACATGAGAGTATAAATAAAAAAGAATAGTGAACTTACTAACAAATGAGTGCTGTGAGGGTCAAAGTAGCACTAGGCTTTCGAGTCGACCCCCCACATGAACTACATGTCGACCACTACATTACTGCTCCGAGTTCTGCAGAGAATGCTTACCGTCGAATGCGACGGGCTGGCCGACTAAGCCGCCAATGCCGTCGTGACGCAAGCCTTTGACGTTGATTTGACCGATGTCGAAGACTTTAAACGTGAACGGCGAGCCCGGGATGTGATGTCCGCCGAACAGTATCTCCAGCACGTGAACACCTGCAAAACATTCCCGAACGGTTAGGAAACAATTAGGACGGTCAGGAGGAATGCTTTCTCTCATACTATCTAATAACCCAATAGCAGAAAATATGGAGTAAAATGCTCCATTAATACAGCAGAAGTCTGGATGAAAGTGCAGTTTTGTGGAAACAATGTTTGTGGTTTTAGTGGTAGAAAACAAAGCTTTTGGCATTTATTTGTACTTCGTGAAAAACTGATTGCTTTCAATGGATAAAGCTTTCAGGTACTTACCCTTTCATATATATATAGGCAGCAATAAAAACATGAAGAACGGTTCAGCTTTACAGTTGATTTAAACAATATGTTGTTAAATTTAAAAAAAAATTAAATAATATAAATTTAAAGAATTTAATCAAATTTAATGTTTGATCACGTTTGATGGGACATGGGAGCTATATACGCTCTCATTGAATGTACGATTCACCTCCACAGCACCTTCATACAACATTCATATTCAGCACACATACAAACAGTAAACATGGTCATAAACATGGTCATGGGCTCGATGACAAGTATAAGACACTGGGGAGGTACTGGAGCGTCCATACCTGCATCAGTGACTGTGAACTCCACCTTATACATGCCAGGTGATGTCTCATACACATCGCAGGGTATCTTTTGTCCACTTGGTACTTCAAAACACGATTAAACACAACGTCAGCATTTAATAACTGTAAAGATGGAAGATACCTGTAGTTCTGGCTAGATTACTCCTTGACAGTCTAGCATGCAGCAACACAAGCAGAATTTAATCCAATGGATGGATTGCTAGCTACTAATCTTTCATGAGTAAATGTAAAAATTAATATAGTTGCGGGCCTTTCCAATTATTCTGTAACGTAGGTTCAGGGAATTCATTCAATGAATCCTTACTGGTCAATGTGGCCTTGAGCCTTCCCTCTCCAGCATCTGTGGTGTTTACTTCGATTGAAGCCTTTTCGCGCACAGCAAACATCCTGTTTGATGTCAAGTCTGTGCATCGAACCTTGTTGGGGTCCATCGTATTCACTTTCCAAGGACTGCCTGTTAGCAGAACATGCAAACAAGCCAATATCAAACAACTAAACACACAATGGTGTTGGCATAACCTAAACCTATAACAGGTTAATGTATATAACCCCACAGCCTGGTGAAACTGATAGTAATAGCACCATTACAATTAAAATTGAGTAATGCAGAGATGTTTTTGCTGCGTAAGAGCCAACATGTAATATATTATACTTAAAATATTATAATACATAATATATGATAACATATGGTTTCGCACCTGGCACTACTTCTCCATTAAACTTCATGTCGATGGTGTAGGTCTTGGCAGGCACGGCCTCGAACTGAGCGCGGAACTTCTGGTTTCCAAAGCTCTGTACGGCGCACTCTTCCGTGCCCTGGTTCACCATGATCTCAAGGTTTCCCGAACCAGCCTTGGAGGCATCAACTTTAACACAGGAAAACGTGAGATTGGGATTATTAGCTTGCATGTTGTTGTTCTTGGTGGTGGTAGTAGTGTTGTTGGTGTCATTGTTATTGTGTATGTTAATTGCTGCTACTTCTTGTTAAAGATGCATTCCTGCGCACATTTTTGTGACAAACCACTGTAAAAACGTAAGTAAATAACTCACTACACTTTCACTGAACATTAGCTTTGAAAATAAAACTGTAAAAATATGTATCAAGCCTATATTCGCTCAACGGAAAAACAATTCGAAAAACACGTTTCGCCGCGGTTCTGTATCATGGCGGCAAGAGTCGACGCAGGTCACGTAACTAGAACAGCCATAGATATCATATAACACATGTGTTATATGATATCTATGAGCACATGCTGCCTTCATGACGTTGGCAACACTGCATAGCAACAAGAGATGCGTCACAACATCGCCGCAGAGCGGCAAAAGTAAATGCTGTTTGAAACATTCGACCCGACCCTTTCACTTTGTAGTCTAAAAGCTTTGAATGAATGTATTCCTGAGAAATTTATTTTTACCTATCACACATAAATAGGCAAGTACAAACGTTCAATGTTAAAATAATTCATTTTTGCCTGCTTTTATGTTTTCCTCTTGAAAGTTCAAGGCAGGGCACCTTTAATGTTGTTGCTCTTGCTTGTTGTTGTGCATATTTATGCTGCTAGAAATGAATCTGTTCGCATGTGGTTCAGCAATTCTTTTAAAATATCATACTACAGTTGATATTTTGTCATACATACAAATGATTAAATATCAAGAGATTTTCAAATCTGTGATGGTTTTATGCAGACACTCTAGAATGTTATTTAAGCTTCTTTGAAAAAAAATTAATAGAAACCAGCAACACCCTTCCTAATATGGACTTCATTACAGGCATGCATGCACTTACTGTCAAACTCAACCATCTTTTCCTTTGTGTGTGTTGGTATGGAAGACACGTAGATTTTGCTCGCATCGAAAGCCTGACACTTCCAAGGGCTTTCAGCCACCTGGCGACCCATGAGCTTCACCTCAATTGTGTGTTCTCCTAGTATGCCACAAAAAATGAAATCAGCAGGTGACAGACCAATGTAACGGTCACAACTCATAACGCTAGTGCTAAACTAAAGAACGCTACTGAACAAAACCAAAAACCAAAATAGAAAAACAAAACAGACCTGCCTACATATGACTGTATAACCTAATTAGGTTTATGTTACTAGCTTAACTATCAACCCATTCAAAATCTACTTATTAGATATCTGGATTTAATCAAGATGAAGGTAATATGTCAGGTATATGAGACATATATATATATATGTCAGAAGTAGATAATAGGAATCCCTATTATCTACTTCTGATATATGTATATATATACGTACCGACGTCGGCAGCTGTAAATTCAGCTTCAAATGTTCCCTGGCCTCTGTCATACAGCCTGACTGGGTTTGTTCGACCACGTGGTGCTGCAGCAAACAAACGGACACACGTGTACGCGACAACTCTCATCAGCGATCCACACCATACTTTACATTTCCACACTACGTGTTTAGAAGTAGAAACCCAAATTTGGAACTGCATGTGCTATTTCAACTATACGTGCCAACGACAACTGTGTAATTTTAGTTTAATTTTCAAAGCCACTGTATACTAAATTTTAATTCAACCTAAAGTGTATATCAGGGTTCATAGTAGTAAGACACATGTTGAAATAAGGACTTATAAGACCCTTTCTGGAGGCCAAAATAAGACTTTTTACGCGATTTCTGATAGATCACCGACTATTAAAGTACACTAATAATATTTATATATACACAATTGCACAGCAGATTTAATTATTCCATATTATATATACAACAATTCTTATACAACAGTCGAGAACAGTTTATGAAACAATAAAAAAATAAGGACTATTAAGTACTTTTCTAAGATTTCACCAAAAATGAGTACTAATAAGGGCCCTTATTTTATTTTTGGCAAAACAAGTACTTATAAGACTTTGGAAGACCCGCTATGAACCCTGTATATACAGAACCATGTAAACTAGCAAGAGTGTAACACATCAGATATAATGTTATATACGTATCAACAGCCGACCCAGCAAGACAACCAAACCTTCAAATAACGATGTGATATCGATATATAATATATGAGCTGTTAGGACATACTGGTTAGATTCACTTCCAGGTCGTGTATGTTGACATTCGGTGTATGGATGAGGAAAGTCGTGAGGCGACCGACTGCTGCCACCTGTAGCCCTTCTCCAGAAACACCGATCTGAGTTGTATCCATCACGTCAACAATGAACGGTGATCCTAATAACAACACACAAACATTAGTAATAACGTACATGAGTAAAATTAATAGGGCTGTATTGTAGGCCCCATGGTACGCCCCACTAGATTGTGGGCTGAATACAATAACAAACTAACCATTAAAGCTATTATTATTTATTTAGCAATATTAAATAATATTAATAAACCTAATAAATGTAAATAATATTAAAACAAATTTAGCAAATCATGAGATAAAATTACACCTTCAGACTAATCCTTCATAGTATGACTACATATGCGATAACCTACAGGTAATTTATTTCTATTAACATTCGCAAAAAAACCATTAGTTCACGACAACTCGGTCAGGTCATGAAACCTTGTACCCTGCCCCCCTTAGGAATTGCTAAGGCTACAGCTCGAGGATCACATCTTAAACAGCAACAAGGTACGGTGCCAGGAAACAAGTGTGCAACAAGCCAGTATCGCGCCTTGCTCCCCAAAGAGTGCAGGAAAACACAGGCAGACATCGCCAGCGCGCACGCAGCAACAGCCAGCAGACGCCATCGCGATCACAGACACTTGGAACGGTTCAATGAAAAACCTATGGTAAATAAATAATAATGATCGCGTCCCTGTCTTCGCGACTCACCGTGTACTTCGACACCGCTGTAGAAGACGGACACCTTGTGCTCGCCGCCGCTCTGCGGCGTGAAGACGAGACCGTAGATGTTGACGCCGCGCGCGTCGATGCGCACGGGCACGTTGCGGCCCGCGTAGTTAACAAGACAGGACAGCTCGCCGCGGCCCGCCTGCGCCGTGTCCGCGACCAGCGTCATCTGCTGGCCCGCTATGCCGGCTGCAGCGAACACATAAGTCAGGGTTAGGGTTAGGTTTAGGGTTAGGTTTAGGGTTAGGATTAGGGTTAGGGATTTGGTTAGGGTTAGGGATTTGGTTAGGGTTAGGGTTAGGGGTTAGGAGTATGATTAGATATAGAGTTTGGGATAGGATTAGGGGTTAGGGTTAGTGCAGTGCACGTGCAAGTCATTTTTAAGATAAATAGATATTTCATTCAACAGGATTTCGGTAGGTTAGTAATAATCCTCTAGTCATTTAAAACTAGCCTTGTAGACAGATGTAGAAAATTGCATATATATATAATTTCCATATAATTCAGTGTTGACGTACATGAGGCCTCACAAACGAGAAAGGTTCTCTATGCATCACTGCTGACATCACAGATACACAGGAGATATTATTATTATTATTATTATTATTATTTTATTTATTTATATTGCACCTTTTTACATAAAATGATCAAAAGCGCAGCAAATCGATATCGCAAACGACTGGACAATGAAATGATAATAAATATGTACATGTGAGATATATTGCTACAACTACAAGATACAATGATATTGATTTGATATGGTAGAATATGGATGAACCTACTTGTATTGACGCCAGAGATCTTGACGTTGGACGCGTCAAACACGTGGCAGGTGAACGGACTGCCCCGGATCTGCTGGCCATCATAGGTGATGGTCACTTTCCATTCACCTGCAACGCAGCTAGCCGATGACACACGTGCACGGCAGTGAACAATACAATACACTACAACACAACAAACTAGATATTAACAACAATACAAGCTAATAACAACAACAACAACAACAATAATACAAGCTAATAATAATGACAACAACAACAATAATAATACAAGCTAATAATAACAACATCAACAACAACAACAATACAAGCTAATAATAATGACAACAACAACAATAATAATACAAGCTAACAACAACAACAACAACAACAACAACAACAATACAAGCTAATAATAATGACAACAACAACAACAATAATAATACAAGCTAACAACAACAACAACAACAACAACAATAACGATCATATCAATAATTACAGCAATATAAACATTACAATGACTAATATGAAGATGGAAATAAATAAAAATAAAAAACCAAAGAGACCAATGAGATACAAATGCTTTCAGCTTTAGTACCCTGACACATAAGAAAAACGATCTTGCAACATCTTGATCTACAATCTTTCATCAATCAAGCAAGTGAAACATCTTTCAGCCTCTACACTGAACGCAGGCGGCATACCTGATTCACTGGGCGTGAATGCGGCCACGTAGGTGTGTCCACCGTGGTCGCGCACTGGACAGCTCGTCACCTTCCCGCTCGGAGACGTAGCTTCCACCCACACGTTTCCCTTGCCAGCACCGTTCTCATGCAACTGCAGAAATAAAGGTATATAAATCACGATATACATATAAATCATGATTGTGGCACCTGTACATGCAGCCTGAGTGAAACCAGCTCACTTACAGGACTAATTGCTGAATGCTGTTATATATATATTCATCATGCTATTAGCAGTCAGACTGAACAGCCTATGCCTCAGCCGACTCACTACAATATTCCAAACAGAAAACAGACGGACCCTGCAAAGCTCCATCGCACAAATAACTGTCTGCTACAATCACAGGCATGTCCATTGTGCACATTTTAAGATGGATACCGAATGTTCACTTCCCTCAGTCACAGGAAAATAATAAAGTAATACTGACCTCGATTTCGGACGTGATGCCTACGGCACACTTGTCGATGCCTGAGCAGGTGACCTTTTCGACATTGGGATGCACTCTGACACTGACCGGGCAACCACTGATGACTGTATTGTCGCAGTACACGATTACCTAAAGCCAGAATATACGTCAAGCTACACATGCACGCACACGCACACGCACACGCACACGCACACGCACACGCACACACACACACACACACACACGTGCGTGCACACAGATGCGCACGCACCCATCACATTTGGAATTTGGAATGTAAGTTCATTTCCTAGTAAAATTAACCATCCTTCACAACAGAAATTCGGTGGTAAGTCACTAACACTTACACTAAAACAGTATTTCAGCAAAGCAGAGCACATGAGATGCAAGCATTTATTCAACCGCGATATCATTCCTACCTCACCCTTATATTATCGGCTCCATGTTACATCACAATACCACGTATAAGCCACCGAACCATTAAATTAATAGAATAATAGGCAAGTTAAATAAAAAGAAGAAGAAAGATACTATAAATAAAAAATAAATAAATAAATAAATATAACAATAAACAAATAAGATAATAATACAAACGAACCTGGTGCATTCCGGTCTCCATGGGAATGTAGGTGGCGCTGCCACCGTGACTGGTCAAGCTCAGGTTGACCCGTATCGGCTGTGTAGGACCGACGACCTCAGCCTTTACCTGCTTGGCATCTATATCCTTCTCTTTAAACTCCAAATAGAAGTGAGCCTATAAATCAGAAGCGATTTCATTTAGTTGTTAGTAAAATCCAACCAAATCCAGTAAATGAAAAGAAAAAAGTTATCATGCAGTAAATGATGACTCGACCAGTAATCATTGCAAGTGTGAGGAACATTCATCAAGATTCTATACTGGGATGTATCATATTGTACATATATCAGGACCGTAGTGGCCTCCCAAAATGTGCTACTGCAGAAAAATGTAGGATCACCCAGTGATAATATCCAGAGTGGCGGTTATGGTGTGTGCCACACATGGCTAACGCCGCGATCGCGAAGCCAGAAAATTTTTGAAATTTAGAGCCTGGAAATGGCATTTCCTGCATTTTCAGGCTACGTTGAAAGCAACCAATTCTGATCATTTTATAAGGTCAATTTGTAAATTTCAAAGAGGAATGTAGCTAAAGCTGATGTTTTGACTAAAGTATCTAAAATATATATTATGAGTATGATAACTAATAAAACATTATTTACAAAATTGTGTATACTATTAGTTAGTGATGTCACGATCATCGATTATACTCGATCATCGGTTGAACAGTGGC